AGATTTATTTTAGAGAGAGAGCACTGAGAGAGTGAGTGAACAGGGGGAGGACCAGAGGGAGAAAGAAAATCTCAAGCAGACTCCCCACTGAGCGCAGAGAGCCCAAAGCGGCGTTCGATCCCCGGGACCCCGAGATCACGACCAGAAGTGAAATCAAGAGTTGGCCGCTCAACCGACTGAGCCACCAGGCGTCCCTGTACCAGAGGCTCTTTTATTTATTTATTTTATTTTATTTTAAAAATATTTATTTATTTGAGAGACAGAGAGTGAGAGAGCATGAGAAGGGGGAGGGTCAGAGGGAGAAGCAGACTCCGTTCTGAGCGGGGAGTCCCATGCAGGACTCAATCCTGGGACTCCAGAATCATGACCTGAGCCAAAGGCAGACGCTTAACTGACCCACCAGGCACCCCTGTACCAGAGGCTCTTTTAAAGAATGTTAAAGACTTGAAGCTAGTTCAGTACATTCTCTGATAAATGTCCCGAGTGTCATTTTGCTCCACATTATGTGTCTGAGTTTTGACCTTGTTCATTTTGTGGATAGATGGCTATTTGGAATGTTTTGTTACTTGCAGTTATTGAGCAAACCACTAGGTGATGCTGAGAGACTTGAGTTTAAGATTGTAGAAGCCAAACAGTGAAACTGCTTTTTTCCTGCCTGTTTCTTAAAATAAGTGAACCCAAAACAATGGCCAGGAGCTGGTATTGCTTCAAGGGAAGGGTTGATGTAGAAACTAAAGGTTTCTGTCCAACCAGTACACGCTGCTTCCCGGATGAATGATGGAACGAAGTCCGCTGTGGTTAGGTTTAAGTGGGATATGTGCTCTGATTGCGTAGGCTTGAGGGTCTCACCCTGCAGGGTCATAAGTTATTTTTTTATTATTTCATAAGATACTAATTCAAAGTACTTTTGACCAGCTATAAACATGTATTTGAATCTGTTGAGACAGTTAACATGGGAGGGAAGTTTCAGACCTTATATTTCAGTTCCTGGTCATTTTCTTTCCATTTTCCTTCAGTGTCTGTACTAAGCAGGGATTACTGTCCCTAAACTACCCCCTCCCCACGTTTTTGCCCCTACCCCTACCCTAGAAGATGTTGCTCTTTCCCTATCATCAGAGGAAATGGAGGTTGCTGTTTCCTGTCTTCCCCACCATAAACTGGTGAGTCTGCCCTTCCCGGCTCCCTCCCTCCCACAGTCCTATGAGCCTCTTAGTGACCCCATCCTATCTCACTCCGGCCTGCTTTGGGTGGCTCCCCTCTGCGCTTCCCTCTTTGGAGCCCTAGAACCTGCTTCCACTTCCATTACGAATTCAAACTGCCCTGTCCTTCTAGATGGTACAGGTTCTTCTTGGCCTGTCCCTTAGACATGGCTGGTACTTAGGACTCCACTCCTGACACATCACTCCTCTTGACGTATGTGTCGTCAGGATGTACAGTGCCAGCCCCAGGCTGTGTGTGTGTGTGTGTGTGTGTGTGTGTGTGTAGATCTGTTACTTGCTGCTCTGTGGGTATAAGTACACTGTTGACTGGTGTAATCTGGGTACCTCTTATCAGCACCTCTGAAACTAAACTTGTGATCTCATCACTGTACAAAACAAAAAGAAACCTACTCTTCCGGGTGGAAGGCTCCATCACCCCAGCCAGGGCCCTTGTGGTGTCAGCTGCTGTTTGCTGTCATTGGCCCCTGGCCGCCTCACAGTCTCTCCAGTCTGTGGATTGGGCTGAGCATCCCCTCCACGGATCCCCCTTCAGCTTAGCCTGCACTGGGTTTTCCCTTCTTCACTGGGCCACAAGCTCTCCTGCCGCAGGGCTGCCTTTTAGTCACCTCTGTGCTTCCAGGACCCGGTGCCCAGGCCGGGCTCGGCGAATGATAGCGGGTCATTTAACAAGAGGTCCTTGTGGTAGGAGGGCAGTTGATTTTGAGTCTTATGGTTATGTAAAAACTTAGTATGACTGTAGATATAAAAGTGCTATGGCAAAGATTCACAGGGCCACGCAAGAGTATTCATTTGGGATTGATGCTTATTTGAAAATGCACAGATTTTTTTAACGGAGTAATTATATTAAATAATTGCTGGTCTTTGGCACACACTGGAGAGAGTGGACTGTCGTGGCAACACGCGTCAGAGACAAGTGGACAGCTCCATTGTAAGTGGGAGGTCCCAAGCCCGCGAGGCAAGTTAGTACGGAAACCTTTGAGTGGAAGGGTTGTAGAGCGGAGCCCGTTACCTTGTGAGAGGGAGTGCAGATCTGGGTCCCGTATCTGCTCAGGTACACAGCCTTTACCAGTTCCCTAAGCCTCTGGACCTCTGTGTTCTCACCTGTAAAGCGAGGAGGATAACCGTGTCTCCTTGATAGCGTTGTGAGGATGATTATGAACAGTGTAGATGAGGCCCCCAGCACAGTGTTCACCGCATGCCTGGTACTGTCTGTGCTGGGGGCTCTCACATGGAGCTTGTATTTGAGTTCTAACTGATGTGGTCCTCACTGAAGCCCGGTACTGTGCCCCATAGTAGGAGAGAGATGAGCTTTATAAGCCCAGACTAATTGAATAGATCCCATTGGGTTTTTTTGAGCCTGTAATGCTTTACTTTTTATAAATGGGGAAATTATTCTCTGTGCTTCCTCAGTTAGAGGAAAGAGGGCATTTACTCTCAGAGGAGGGAGGGAGGGAGCGTGTGTATGTGGGTGCATGCGGACATTAGAATTTTGCAAATTAACTTCTTCAGCTAATGCTTAAGTCTGAGACCTCCCAGTCCAACTGTGTTTTGGAATGGAAAGGCTACTTTTGTTGGAGTGATGCCTTGGATGGATGCTGGCATCCCATGTACACATACTTACTTTTCCTTTTCTGGTACACAGTTTAAAAGTAAAGGGAGGCAGTGTGGAATGGCCACAGATCATGGATTTTAGGCCCTGGCTGCACTACATAGCTCCCGAGTGATCACGGGCAAGCTAGTTAACGTTTCAGGGACTCCCATTTCCTTACTGGGGAAAGGGGGATAGTGGTGGTTCTCCTGGATTACTAAGGATTAAGTGCAGCCAGTTACCAAGCGTAAGTTGTAAAGCGCTTGTTGAGTGTAGAAGGTGTCCATAACTTGTAGCTGTCACTGGTACAAGATTCATAATGGGACATGGGGAGACTTTGTCTTGTTTTAAAGCATTTCTGAAAAAATATTTAAAGCATTTAATTAAAGTATTAAAGCATTATATGAACATGGCATTCACATCTGTCTGAAGGCTGTAGAAAAGAGGGATGTCAGAGGACGAATCTGAGGATAAATGTGTTTCTAAATGGAGTAAGGGCATTCCGGCATCCAAAACATTCCATAAATTGGAATTCTGTTGAAAAATACAATTTATTTAGTATGAGACAGTTGTCCTGAAAAAGAGTATTGTCCTTCACTGAATAGTGGTTGATCGCCTGCTGTGATGCGTTGGGTGCCCTAGTAGGTGCTGGGGGTTCCCACTGGCTGAGGCTCGGGTTCTGCCTTGTGGATGCCTCCGTAACTGGTGTCTGAGGGCCTGCACTGTTAGCAAGGCCCGCCTTGCCCTCAGCGTGCCCGGGAGAAGCCTGTGTCTCTTAGATCTCTGTCACCTCTGTTAGCCATGTATCTTAGCCTTTTCTGCTGCTTGTTAAAATAGTTGTTGTGTTCCCCAGTTACATTCCCACAGAAAGATAAATAAATGTTGGTGTTTATTGGGGGGGGTAGATATTTTTTAAAATTTTTAATCCTTAAGTATCGTACATGGTGTTGGATAGCACGCAGCTTCCACACAATGTGCCTCCTCTTTGGATATGTGGTCTCTCGAAGGGGTTTTTATCACTCCGCCAGAGTATAAGCATTTACTTCCATGTTATTCACTAGATGTCATTAACTTCTTTAAATATGCTTCTTCACTCTTTCAGAGTTACTGGAGAATGTAACCCTAATACATAAACCAGTGTCATTGCAACCCCGTGGGCTGATCAATAAAGGAAACTGGTGCTACATTAACGCTGTATCCTTCTCAAGTGCTGTCCCCAAGGCCGGCTGGCTGCACTTCTCTCTTCCTCCCGTGCCTTTGACTTCGTGCAGCTGCAGAGGGGCCTCTCCCCTAAAGTTTGAGTCCAAGAACTTGGTTCCTTGCTTAGTCTGCCTCCCTTGCTTATAAATAGAGTTAATTCCTGACCGCAAAAAAAGATGATTGTTGACTGGTGAGTGACAGAATCAGGCGACTTTTATTTTCATTAGCATGGCCCTGATGAATGGGGCAGTGTGTCCACTTACAATTGGAAATGTTGTTTTAATTGATTTATCTAGGTCGAATCAAGTTTTTGTATGTAAATGCTGATTGCAGAGTAAACCCTTACGTGGAAATCACAGGGCAGTTATCCTCATGGTTATTTGGTTTATTCTTTTTTATGTTTACATATGTAAGTCTTTCAGTGTCATTGGCTTACTTAGGTTTATGTGCTTTGGGTTACTGTACCTTTCAGAAATTTGGAGTGTCTGTTTCATTTCCTTTACACTTCCTTACTGCCAATACTTAGACACTGCAAGCACTGGTTGCTTGCCCTCCGATGTATCACCTGATGAAGTTCATTCCTCTCTATTCAAAAGTGCAAAGGCCTTGTACGTCGACACCCATGATAGATAGCTTGTAAGTAAGGTGCTTACAAATGTGTTACGGGGCTGGGTGTTTTCGCCTCTGATAATTTGAATTCACATGGTTTAGCAAGGTTCTTAATTTCTTGCAAATGAGTCCTATAATTTTATTTTTTTAAAATGTACTGTTGATATTTTTATGTGGAAGTTAACCAGAAATGGAATCGGAGCATTGTTTGTGTTCTTTAGATTCAGTTACGTAAGTGTAGTGTTTACTAGTGTGTGTATGTTACATAAAATGTACCAAAACCTTACAGAGAAAAGATTGAAGAACTCACTAGCTGTTATAGCATTGGTTACTTAAAATTTGCCATCTTCATGCTAAAATATTCTACTTAACCATCGAGGCTCTTTAGTAAAAGTATGTCTTTTTTAAAGAAATGTGCTAAACTGTTGTTTCCCCCATGTTTGTAGTGTTCGGCTAATGAATGAGTTTACTAATATGCCAGTACCTCCAAAACCCAGACAAGGTGAGTAAAAATGAGGTCTTCCGGTGCCCATTACGTATGGACTGTTAGAAGCTCAGATGACTGAATGTCATAAGTTCGGTCTTGTTGGAAAGAAAATGTCTTTAAAATGCGAGATGTTACAACTGTGCTCTTCTCAGCACTGCGTGCGGTGGAGGGGAGTTCTGGTCATGCTGCTTTTCATCATTTTGACTTGGTTTTCATCATGAAAATCTGTGTCCTGTTTCCACTGCAGCTCTTGGGGATAAAATCGTGAGAGATATCCGCCCTGGAGCTGCTTTCGAACCTACATATATTTACAGACTTCTGACAGTCATCAAGTCGAGCCTGTCTGAAAAGGTTTGGCATTGCTCTCATGTAGCCCCTAGAAAGGTGGCCTCTTGCTTCAGTCTGTGCCCGCGCCGTTGCCTGTTCAATGCTCGTTCTGCACTGTCAGCGCTGGGGTTGGGTGGGTCCTGAGTAGATCTGGGCCTGTTAACGGAGTCAGTAGCTTGAATGAATATTAAAAATATCATCAGGGCCAGCTCATGCGTCATTTACTGTGCACCAAGTACTCTTGTAAGTTCTTTTCATATGTTAGCTTACTTAATTAACCCTGTGAGTAAAGTATGGTTGTCTCCTTGTTACATTTGAGAAAAGTGAGATCCTTGTCCAAGGTCACACAGCTCCTCAGTACAGAGCCTGGCGTTACAGGCAGCTCCTTAAGCACTGCGCTGCCTCTTAGAGCTTGGTCATTGGGCCTGGAATCGTGGCAGCCTTAAGGAGAGCTAGGGCTTCATCATACTCACACATTTCTAGTAGCTCCTTGCCTCTTTCATCTGCATCTGTGGTCATACACTTTGCTCCTGAAGGCATGGGACCGAGGGCCAAGGAGGTCTGCGTAGAGATTGTGATGAGTCAGTATAAGCATTTGAAATGATGTCTAGGGAAATTATTCAGAGAGAAAAATCGTCAAAACAATTGCGTTAAAGCTGAGTAAAGCAATACTGAAGCTCCTTGTTCTGAGGAAGGGTGAATGGCTAGGACAGTGCAGCGGGGTACCACTGGGGAAGCTTTACTGCTCCTGTCGTAGCTGTTGGTGCTTAGCTCGAAATTTACGTTTCCCAGGTAGTGAGAAAGGTATAGAATGTTAGCAGTGCAGAAATGGATTAAACTGTGCCCTCTGCCCTCAAAGACCTCACCTGTCCAATAAGGGAATTAGATCTATCATCCAAGAAAACGGACCCGCAAGAGAAGTACTAAAATAGATGCAGACACCGATGCTTTAGAAGCCAGAGGAGGGCCGTCCAGCTCAGGTGGAGGCGGAGGTAAAGCAGTGAATTTCAGGGGGCATCCTGTGGTCAAGCCCCACCGAGATCCTGCTCCGAAGTTACGTTCATGGAGAGAGGTGTCTTTCAGAGTTACATGAATATTGGCTCTGTTGGGTCCCCCACACCACCCTCCGATTTAGTGCTTCGATGGAAGGACTCACAGGACTCAGAGGCTGTTCTCACAGGATTTAGTGCAGGGACACTAAAGCAAGATCAGACGACCATGGGAAACCTTGAAACTCCTCTCCCGGTGCAGCAAGAGAATGCACTTAATTTCTCAGCATCAGTGTGTGACAGCACATGTGAAAATGTCTGCTGTGGAAGCACATGGGAGACTCCCAGGGGTTTTACCAAGGGCTGGTCACGTAGGCATCCTCTGCCTAGCACAAACCAAAATTCCATACTTGCAGAGGGAAAACAGGTGTGCACCATAAACCACACTGCGCCATTTTGGCATAGACCCTTTTCACTTCTTGGAATGGGGGGGGGAAATCCCTCCCCAAATCCAACTTCCCAGATGCCAACCAGGGACCAACCCAGCAAGCAGGCCTTTCCAAGAACCATAGCCTCGTGCCTGCTGTGTCAACTCTTTCTGCTTCTTGAGCTAGCCAGTTTCTGCCCTTTTCCACACACGCGGGGCATACTCAACTCTGAACATCTGCTGTCTGTTTAGAGCTGCAGTTCTAGGTGGAACAAATATACCTGGAGACCGCAAGAAGACGACTTTGAAAATCCTTGGAACATGTGGTTATTCTCCAAAGAATGAAATGGGAACTAATCCCAAGATTATAAGACAAATATGTGACTGTTGCATGACTCATCTATAAATGATTTTGCTGGTGTGTGTGTGTGTGTGTGTGTATACAACTGTTAGTTAAATCTTTGAATCAATAGAGCTTTTCACATATAATTTGGGTCCTTTCCCCTATAGTTGCCCATCATCAAAAATAGAAGGAGTCACACAGGGCTGCTATTCACAACTCCTAGTGTGACCGTTCGCCCCTGGGGTTGTGCAGTGAGGTGGCCCTAGACCTCTAGTTCCTGTTCTTATATTTCATATCAACAAGAGAGCATCTGTTTAATAACTTTTTTTTATTAGATAGGTAATGTATATTTATTGTAGAAAATTTCAAAAATACAGAAAAAACCCCAATAAAAATCCCTACTCATTCTATACTCAGACATAAAGGTGTACCTGTCTCTCCCCCCGTCCCCTCCCCAATCCTCATACCGCTCAGCCTACCCATTTCAGTGGTCCAAAGGAGAGCTCATATGATTTTGGGAATCACTTTACATTAAATCTTGTTGAAAATTTAAGAGGAGACGTAGTCTGAATATGCAGGTATAATATTCCCTGCAGTCCTTGCATGGTGATCAGTTAAAATTAATGTGCTCACGTCTGGCCTTTTCAGGGTCGACAAGAAGATGCTGAGGAGTACTTAGGCTTCATTCTAAATGGACTTCATGAGGAAATGCTGAACCTAAAGAAACTCCTGTCACCAAATAATGAAAGTAGGTTGTGGTCTATTTGCCACAAAACTGTGTGAGAACCTTTCCTTAAGAATTCCTTTTGAGGGGCGCCTGGGTGGCTCAGTCGTTAAGCGTCTGCCTTCGGCTCAGGTCATGGTCCCAGGGTCCTGGGATCGAGCCCCGTGTTGTGCTCCCTGCTCGGCAGGAAGCCTGCTTCTCCCTCTCCCACTCCCCCTGCTTGTGTTCTCTCTCTCTCGCTGTGTCTGTCTCTGTCAAATAAATAAAATCTTTCAAAAAAAAAAAAAATTCCTTTTGAACAGATGTCACCTGCTCATGTAGTACATTACTTTCCCCCCACCCCGGTCATTGACCCTTCGAGTCACCTTCTCACTAGGGCGAGTCTGGTATCTTTACATTGCTTACTTTATGGGCCATTGTGAATGTTCTACTTGGATAAATTAAAATATATCCAGAACCTTTGCTTTTTTCCCTTCAACTCTTAATTAGGAAAATGATGAAACATCCAGAAAAGCTGGGAGAATAGTTGGTGAATACCTGTATGAGCGCTGGATTCTGCGTCTGCTAACATGTCATGCTTTGTCTGTCTCTCTGTCCCCACACACAGTTTCCTGAGTGACACAAATTAAGTTGCAGATACCAGTTTGCCCCTAAATGCCAAAGCATGCATTTCCTGAGGATGAGGATGCTCTCCCGCATGACCAGAGGCCCTTACCGAATTAGGAAAACTGGCTTTGATTACACAGTAATGCCTACTTTCCAGTGCACCTTCAGATTTCTCAGTTCTAAGCACGCTGTCTTTGGTGGTTCATGCAACCAGGGGTCCAGCGGATGTACGTGCTGCATTTGTTCTGAATGTAGGACACACCCTGATTTCACTTTTAAAGCCAACTCTGTGCAGGTGGCTTATGTAGAACCTTTCTTTAAAACTTTTTTGCTGTTATTGTTGCTGATGGTAGCTTAAGCGAACTGTCTCCTTTTCAGAACTCACCATTTCCAATGGACCCAAAAGCCACTTAGTGAATGAAGACGAGCAGGAAGAACCAGGCGAAGGAAGTGAGGACGAATGGGAGCAAGTGGGCCCCAGAAATAAGACTTCAGTCACTCGCCATGCGGAGTTTGTTCAGACCCCAATCACTGGCATTTTTGGTGGACACATCAGGTTTATGCTTTTCTGGAATACTTTAGTGCTTGCCTTTTTCAGGGTTTGGCCATTTACTGAAGGGGGAAAGTGTAAGACGTGTCTAAGAAATTTTGGACTCGATGGCTTGCCTTTACACCTCTGTGCCCGCTCTGTCCCTGGACTTCCCTGTGCTTCTCCTGCCTGGTGCTTTCCCTGCTCCCGCCCCGCACGACACCTCGGCACAGGGCGCTGGCCCCAGGGCTCGGCGGCCGCCGTCACCCCTGCTCCCTCCCTCAAGTCAGCCCTACATTCCCTCAGGCCAGCTGCTCACCGCTAGGTAGGAAGAGAAAGACTTGTTAAGTTGAAATACATGTTTTGTGTCTGACTGGAGGAATATTAGGTGCCAGAACCAAGGGAGCTAGAAAGGTAAGGGAGTGTGGAGGGAGATAGTTCTATATAAAGGGGCACATGGGACCTCCTGGAGTGCCTGGGCCCTTCCTCTGTCCCAGTTCCCGTAAACCAGCTGCTCCTTGCTCTTCCATGACATCCTTCTAGAAGGCTTTTATTTGATTGCATTAGAGCTGTTCAGGACCACCGTGATGTGGGACTCAGGAGCGTGGGGGCCGTCTCCAAGGCGGTTCAGTCATCCCAAGTCCCAGAGGGCCTTGTTAGGGCAGGATTTCCTCTCGGAAGGCCTCGCGTTGTATCCTACAAGGGTGGTTTTTTAGTGAGACTCAGTCTTCGCTTGTCCCAAATGCTTTGTATCCAAAAGAAGTAACACCCTTTCCAAGGCATGGAAAGTTAGTTCGGTCTCTCTCTGCTCTGATACAACTTAGGTTGAGCCCCTTTCAATAGGCTAATAAAACCTCAGCGTGTCCACTGGCTCCTTCACAGGCCAGTCAGTGCTGCTGTGTCGGATGGGATTCAGAAGCCAGTTATGCCACCTTGTCACCCTGAACGAGTCATTTCTGTGCTCTTCAGTGTGCGCTAGAGCCTGCGGGCCCCTTTCTGTTCTGGACTCTCCACGTCAGCCTTGTGGTCAGGTGTGCTCCGGGGAAACGCCCAGCCCCTGACTGCTCCCGCTGTAACTTGCTTTTGCCAGATGCGATTCCTTGGGCTGGGCCGTTTTGGGAAGGGAAGCAGGGATCCAGGTCGGCAATAGCAGTGAGAGGAGGCTGTCCTGTGCCCTTAGCTCTGCAGTAGACCTCTGATGTTAGCATTCGTGGGCTGGTCCCTTAGGGACGGGAGAGAGGCTGAAGGAACAGCCCGGTGGGTAGAATAGCAGTGCCAGACCCGCGCATAGGTAGAGTATCAAAATTGCAAGGCCACTGAGGCCAACATTCCCGAAGAGCCTACACATGTTTGAAAATAACCCGTGGGAAAAACCAGAATCCACTTTGGAGAAATTTCTAGCTTGGCCTGCATGGCTCTGCCAGGCCTCTAGCCTCAGTGGTCTTTTTATGTTGAAATTGATTGTTGATATTTTTGAGAAATGATAAAGCAAAAGTAGGAATTATTTTTTATAATTTAGGGAACTTCTCTCCTGTGTGCAGTAGCCATCAGGAAGCGCTTCCTTGTTCAGACAGCTGGAAGGTTTTTCTTTTAAAATTCACCCTCTTTGGGTGGGTTTTCACTTCCCCCAGAAAAACCAGCACCTTTCTTCACCTTTCCCCTCAGCCACGGAATAAAAGTCCAGGCCATTGGAGTCAAGAGGACCGCCTCTTGATTCTTTCACCAGTTTTAGTGCCTTCTGCTCCCACTGCCGCTCTTGGAACCAACGGAGTGGCCGTTGCTCCCACGTCCGGACACTCGAAGGGAGGGTGCGTCACGGTGCATCCTAACACCGCGCTTTAGGAGAGCAGCGTGTGAACGGGATGCCCTTCAGCTTGCTCTTCACGGCATCTGCTCCATAAAGCCTCAATACCCACGCACACCCATTTGATTCTGTTCGTAAACTAGGTCACTCAGACTGCAGAAATGGAATTCCTTGTTGAGCTCCTGGAATGTTTCCTTGCTGGGGCTAAATGAGAGATGGGCCGAGCACACAAGTTTTACTCAGAAAAACTTAGAAAAAGAAAAGTGAAATGAAAAACCAGCTAAGAAAAACAAGGTTGAATTGGCACCCTTCTTCTTGAGGGTGGTAGGTAGCCTTGTTTCCTGGACTGTTAACTTATTTTTTATTATACACACCCTACTCCTCTTCTTTTGTAAGTCATTTTTGTAGGGGAAAAGTGCCATTAAAAATACTCTGTTTACCTTGGGGTTTCCTCTATTTTATTAAAACGGGCTATGATACTTTGAGAAAATGGAGTGTGTCAGCATTTTGAGGCCACGGCAGGATAGGCGCATTTACTGACTGCTGTGTGAAATAAAGTCTGGAGTGGAGGTGAAGGAATTGGGAAGATGAACTATGTTTTCTTCCAGCGTGCTTGTGCTGGGAGAATAATCAGCTGGTGGATAGTTGCTAGAAACACTTAGGAGGTGGTATTTAGCAGGATTATTTTAAAATTCAGTATATTTTTGTCTTTTTTGTTCTCTCTGGTTTTCTGAAAATGATTCTGAGCAATCTCGTTTTCAGTTAATGCCTCTTCTCCTGCTGGCTCATCTTAACGGAGAATGGGAAGGAGTGGTCTCTTAACAGTGTTCTGTTTTTGTCTCTGCCTCTTAGGTCTGTGGTTTACCAGCAGAGTTCAAAGGAGTCGGCCACTTTGCAGCCATTCTTCACCTTGCAGCTGGACATCCAGTCTGACAGGATCCGGACGGTCCAGGATGCATTGGAGAGCTTGGTCGCAAGAGAATCTGTCCAGGGTTATACCACAAAAACCAAACAAGAGGTATACTAATAGTTGATGTTGAACGTTTGTGCTGAGGCACTCTGGCGTGGTGGAAAGAGTGCAGAAGTAAGAGCGAGGAGAAGTGCTTTTGCATTCTGCCTCTTAACCCCGTTGCTTAACTGTTTTGGACTGAAAGTTTACACATTTTTAGAACGAAATGGTTGAAACAGATGCTCCTTGCAACCTCCTTTACCTCTAAACCATGTAACCCGAGGTAATGATCGTTGGGATTATTTATCCTGAGGTACATTTAATCTTCTGGTAGTCTAATCATGATATGGAAAAAATCAGTACTACCTCTAACAGAGGCCAAATAGCTTCTTTACATCCCTGATGTCATAGAGCTCAGTTTCCCGAGATTAGTTAGGAGAGAAAAGGGATTCCAAACATAGCTATTTTGCATTTGATGGTAGGTCTTCAGGGACATCAACAAATAGAAAGTAGCTGTTTTCATGCCTGTTAGTCTTTCATTTGATCTGAAAAGGATAAAAGTCTGAGTTAAAAGACTCAAACACTAAAAGGTGTTCAGCAGTCAAGGGAAGCAGATAGTCTCATGGGGTGTACTTGTCAGCCGAGTCAGGAGACGGGGAGAATATTCTGCTCTCGGAGAGGTTACTGGCTCCTGGGGTCCAGATGTACCAGCTGACGCCTGTTTTCCACTCTGTGGTCAGGGGGGTCTTCTCTGCTGAGATGGTGCTGGTGAATGCAGAAAAACGTACTGGGAGGGCAGTGCAGGCTAGCTAGGGGCAGCGCTTGTGTGAACAGTCCCTCGTGTCCCTAGGGAGCTTGCTGTAAGGAGACTGTGTGGCAGCTGAAGGTGCACGAAGATTGGTTGCTGCCAGCACCTTATGGAGCTCAGTGGGCCTCCCGTGGCCGAGTGGCTCACACTGGGAGAGCAGAGCGGAGGAGGACATGGAGACCCTTCGGTCCCTCTGGGGCCTCCTGCTTGGACTGATCAAGCCAGCCTCTTGGGAGATCCACACATAGTTATGCCTAATCCTCCACCATATTTTCTGACTTGCTTCCCACGGGCGCTTTTGTTTAAAAAATAAAAGTGGTAGGAGTGAGAGACAGAATCTTGGCACTTGGCTTAAGTGAGTAAGCTGAGTCTGGCAGTGGAACTTAGAGAGAGTGGGTATTTGTTTTCAGGGAGGTTGGTTCGTGTGGCTGAGTTGTGTACTTGGCTCATTCTGTGGCAGCTGTGGCCCCAGAGGTGGTGTCGCTCTCCTGGCCCCCGTGCCTCTCTTCTCGCTTGCTCTCCTGTGGACTCCTGTGGTGGGGGGGTGGGCGGTGGGCGCTCCTCCCGCAGGCGGCTTTCTGCCTTTCCCGGGCTGCCAGGAAAGCCCCCTCACGTGGCGGTTTTCCTCTCACTCTTGCTGCAGTTAGCGGTGGACGTCGGGGAGGGTGCAGATGAGATAGAGGTGGAGAGCGTGAGGAAAAGGTGGCTTGTTCTAGATGGCAGGTGGAGGAAGGATGCAGGAAAGAAGAGGCATTTCAGTGGACCCTTGAGGAAGAAAATGGGCTGTCCCAGCTCCGTGATGGTGGTGTGTTACCAGATCAAGAGCAAGAACACTCAGAAAAGCAGATGTTTGAGAAAGGAAGATTTTGGACAGTTCGTATGTGGTGGGGATATCTGGAAAGAGCAAGTATCACATTTTCTGGAATGTGATTTCTTTAAATTTACTTTTTAAAATACCCAGTTTAATATATTTATATTTTAAGGTCATAAGATTTTTTGCTGTGGGAACACACGATGAAGGTCCGTGGGAACCGTCTACAAGTTTTCTACACTTGCTGTGTAGAAAAGGTCTGGTTTTGTTGGGTGAAGAATAGTGTGTGTCAGTTTGTCTGGAAACCCAAAACACATGGAAGAATTTCAGATTAGCCACTTAATGAGTTGCCTGAAAGCTTGAGGTCAGAATCCTGGGTTGCCAACACTGAGAAGCATCCCAGAGACACATTCGTCCAACTCTCGATTCACAAATGGGGAAGCTGGAGTCCACTTGTCAGAATCCTGGTTTTTAACTGTTGAGCTGTAGCCACACTTTTCCATCATTCACACGTTCTTGTTGGGTGTGGAGACACCAGGGTACAGACACAGGATGGGAATCTGGAGGCGTGTTGGGTGGTCCCACACCTGGGATCAGAGTCTGGGTGGGAAGCCAGGTGCCCATTAAGACACCTCCAGCCAGAGGGGTATGTGGTTTTCTGAAGGCTTTCTTGGTTTTTTATCTATGCTGTTATCTTTTGGATTGTGACTCAAACAACTATTTCTATCAGAAGTATTCTTCATGTAAATACAGGAAACATCAAAGGGTTTATAAGTACAAAGAACAGTAAATAAAGGGAATAAATTGTTTGTGAGGATGCGTTTTAATGAAAAGCAGCATTTGTTAGACCTGTGAAAGCATATAAGGAGCATATAAATAAAACTGAAACTTGTAAAACTAATGGTTAGAAGAGATGGCTTTTGGGTTATTTAGAACACTTAAGTTGAGGGGCACCTGGGTGGCTCAGTCGTTAAGCGTCTGCCTTCGGCTCAGGTCGTGATCCCGGGACCCTGGGATCGAGCCCCACATCGGGCTCCCTGCTCGGCGGGGAGCCTGCTTCTCCCTCTCCCACTCCCC